ATCCTTTTTTTTTTCTGATCAGCTGTCGAGGTGCATTTTTAATGTGCTGATGCATTAAGGGAAGTGTATAGGGGAGTTTTGGATTATTCTTTGGTCTGTTTTACTGTTCTATTTTATCTTAGTTGTGCCTGGCTTTAATGTGGTTTTTGTTATTCCCCCCCTGACTTCATCTGCCCTTGGGTTTGGCTGGCACAAATGGCATGAATTGGTTCTTTGTGCTCTACTTCCCAGACCAGAGTGATGTAAGCTATGTATTCTCTGGTGAGGGAGGAGACCTACAAACCATTTGCTATCAAGTGCCGTTGGTTGGGGAAGATAAGGTCCTGTGATTAATAAGCTGGCTGCAAGTCTCCCAAACAGTTAATTGTCTCAGCTCAGTTTCCATTTGTCCAGGAATTTTTCTAGATTCTTACTATCCTGCCTCACATGGACCACAGAACATCCTGCTGGAGAAGCCTGCTGCTTCACTAACTAGGTGCTCACAGACGTGGACTGAAATAATGTGCATTACCGGTGGTGCTAACACTTGACACAGTCAGGATTTCTCATTTGAATTTTCCTAAATTGAGTCTGTTTACTCTTCATAATATATTATTGCCTGATTATGCCAATTGTGTAACTTCCTCAGGTTGTTAACCTTGTGGGTATTGGTGGTGAGTGATCTGGGAAGATGATGGCGGTTACTATCACAGCATAACAAACCATCCCAAAGCCTAGTGGTTTAAACCAACAACAATCTTTATTTTTCTCACGAGTCTGTAATCTGGGCAGGATGCAGGGGGTTGGCCCATCTTTCCTCTTTGCTGCTTCATCTGAGGTGGCTCAGTTGGTAGCTGAAGAATCTGCTTCCATGTTGCCTCAGTTGCACAGCTGGCAAGTTGTTTCTGATGGCAGATGAAAATCCAGCCTGGGGGGTGGGCCAGTGACTTCAAGTCCTCTTCATGTGGCCTCTCGATGGGCAACCTGGGCTTCCTCCCCACATGGTGGCCAAGTGCCAAGCCCACAAACCCTAAGGAGCAAAGAGTCATTTTCCCGATCTTACTTTTGATGTCACAATCACACAGTAGTTTTCAAATCATTCAAAAGTCCATTAAATTTAAAGCAGGGCACAAACCCTATAATTCAACAGAAGAAAAACAAACTGATTATATGAAAAAATGGATGAGATAGAATATATTGTTTTAGTCATCTTTGGAAAATATAAGTAAGCATATTAACAAATCATAGCAAATTAAGAAACAAAAATAAAATTTACATTATTTCCAAAACACATTCCATATGCTTGAAAGTGCATCCCAAACTGTTTTTACAACCTCTTGAAATATATTCCTTTCAGCTTCTTCCCTAATATTTTTTATTTTTCTCGTATGGGTCTCTGATAGGAATGATATTTTCTTCTCCATGTCTTGCCTTGATATTTTTCCCTGAGCACATTTCTCTTTAACTGATTTAGTTTCTTCTTCTAATTCACTTTCATAGATTATCTTCAAGGCCTCTATCTCATGCAGCAGCTTCTCCATTACGTCCTTGTAGATGGGAGCAGAAAAGTGAGACCCTCCGTTCTCCCGCACCATTTCCTCTATCAGATCCACCAGCTCCTGCACTTGAGCATCCTTCTCAGCCTTCTCTATACTCTCTTTGTTATTGAAGGCAAGGCAGCGGTCCCCACACTCCTGGATGATGTTTTGCAGGGTTCCTGCCCCCTTTAAAAAGCCATTCAGTGTCTGATCACCCAATTCATCTTTGCGAGTGAACAAGACGATCATGTGTTTCATGGCTGACTTCCCAAAGATGGACTTGATCAATACAACTGTTTTCTGCTCCTCCTCTGTGTGGCGGCCCAGCTGTAGAACCAGGATGATGGCGTGGGGTCCCGGTTTAGACTGGATGACACACCTGCTGATTTCCACACAGGTGTACATCAGTTTGTCCTCAGTATCAAAGAGCCCTGGCGTGTCCACGACAAGAAGTTTCTTCTCCTTGAATTGTCGCTCTGCTTTCTGACAGGTCTTGGTAACAGCATGGGCAGCAATTCTAGAATCAAATTCCTTTCTCCCAAGGATGGTGTTTGCTGTTGCACTTTTTCCACTTCCGGTTTTCCCCACCAGAACAATCCTCAGAGTGTTGTCCTGAAGACCAGCCATCTTCTTTCAAGAGGCTCTGGGGAGCAGGTATCAACAAGACCTTAAGGAAGGGAATGAGAAGGGGAAAGGGTACTTAGGTAAGTGGGGACTATTCCCAAACCTCTTTTCTTCATTCTTTCCCTCCCTGAAAATTTATAATCGTCTATTCCTTAACTGGAGGAAATAATAAAGCACAGTTTTCCCATAAAAGAGTACAAAGTCCAGGTGCTTTCATAGGAGAACTCACTTAAACCTCTATAAAGGTCTTCATCTCAATGTTATTTGAGCTACTCCTGGTCATACAAAAAAGAGGGAAATCTTTCAATTCTTTCTCTGAATCAAGTATGATATTGATCCTAAAGGCTAACAGAGATTTGACCAATAAATAAAACTACAGATGTGTCTCATTTAGAAATATTCATACCAAAATTTGTTGTGTCAACACATCTTATGAATAGACCAGAGGCCCAGTGCACTAAATTTGTGCATGGGTGTGGGGAGAGTCCCTCAGCCCGGGATTGGCCCTAAACCGGCAGTCAGACATGACTCTTACTATCCAGGACTGCTGGCTCCTAACCGCTTGCCTTTCTGCCTGCCTGATTACCACTAACTACTCTGCCTGCCTGCATGATTGCCCCTAACTGCTCCCCTGCTGGCCTGATAACCCCTAATGGCCTCTGCCTTGGCCCCCACCACGGTGGTGTTGTCAGGAAGGAAGTCAGAGATCCGGAAGATTCCTGGTTGATCCGGTTTAATTGGCATATTTCCCTTTTATTAGTATACATGAAGTAGAAAATTACCTAGTGCAGTCAAGACTTTTGACCAAATTCAAACTTATCCATGTTTAAAGCATTTTATACAATGCAATTAATAGATAATTAACTTAATCTTATATAAATATAATTTTAAATTTTTATCATCACTTTTCCCCTCTACTTGAGAAAGAGTAGATTATAATGTTAAAATAATGGATTATAAAGTTTTGGGATGAAGAAAATGTTGATACTTTTCTAACATTATTTTATATAACTGTAAATTTAAATTTTTGTTATCACTATTTTTTTTCATGCAGGTGAAAAAATAGTGTATTATAAAGTTAAATGGTGGATTATAAAGTTCATTTCAATAAAGAAAACAAGAAAGTTATTCAGCTCCATTGAGAAAAAGAATAAGGTGGAAGAACTAGCTCTACAATGAGTCAAGCATTATAATTTCTATGATTACGGAAGTGTGATATTGTTGTACCAATAGAGATAACAGTGAACCAAAAACAGAAAATTCAGAAATAGGCCAAATTAATCATACCTTATTCATTTATATTCAATTCAATGACACTATGTTACAGTTAGATTCAATAAGACAGCAAACCACATCAAAGGGGCTCAAGATGTTGTGATAAAGAAACTTTGGGATTACTGTATAACCATACAGAGAAAAGATAAAATTGCATCCATTGCCTCATGCCATTCAAATTGCAAGCAGATTAGAAGTTTAAATGTTAAAAACAAGCAAACAAACAAACAAACATATAAATAAAAAAAAACATGGGTAACTTATTTGTAACCTCAAGGTAAGGAAAATGATTCTAAGATTTGAAATAGAGTAAAGAGAAGGATGAATAAGTGTGATTACATTAAAATATCACAGATAATGTGGGACAAATGACACCTTTGGAAAATTAAAGTAAAAATGTCAAATTAGAGACAGTAATATTTTTAAGCTTACAGAAAAGGTGTAAATGTTCCTGTTATACAAAGAAAATTAAAAAGTACAGAAACCAAATACCAGCAACTTAATAGTAAATGGAGCAAGATATGGGAATAAACATTCAGAGAAAAATGAATTTAAATGTACCTTGAATATATCAAAAGACATTAAAATACACTCAGAGAAAAAATAAATCAAAACATAAAAAATAAAATCACTAAAATATTAATTAAATCACACCTCTATTTCTGAAATGAGATACTATTTGACACCTTGATGTTTGGCAAAAGTCCAAATGTTTGCTAGCATAATCTTTTGGTAAAGGTATGAGGGAAGCAGATCCTCTCCTGCATGGCTGGTGAGAATGGAAAACCATTCCAAACCATACAGAAGGGAAGTCAGCACTGTCCTGTGAAAGTACATATGCATTTTCTCATTCATTGTCAATCCTCCATTTTAATATTTATCCCTTAAATACACTGACAACAATGAAGAAAAATGACACATAATGCTATTTATCGCACCATTATCTGTACTAGCAAAAGAACAAAAGCCTTTCAAATGGCCATCAGTAGGGACTGGTTGAATTACCTAAGATATATTCACACAGTGAAGGACTATTCAACTGTGAAAAGGAATGTGTCTCTCTATACAAGCATGGAGAAGTCTCCAGGATACATCATTAAGTGGAAAAAAAAAGCGCAGAAAATAATGTAGATTTGAAAATAATGTATCTTACCTAATAATAGACAAACATGGTAATTGACCATACCTTCACTAAGCCTCCCATTGGCTTATCAGTGAGATATGCAAATTAACTGCCAACAAAGATGGTGGCCAGCAGCCACTGAGCTGGAGCGAACAGGAGGCTTGCTTGCTCCAGTGATGGAGGAAGCCAAGGTTCCCCGCCTGCCATGGCCTGCTCAAAGCTATACTCAAAGCAACAAAGTTTCAATTATAGAAGGTAAATAAACCCCAGATACCTGCTTTCAGGAGGCCGTGGACATGGAGCTGGAGTGAGTAGGAGGCTTGCTTGCTCTA